TAAATTTCATGTTTGCAGACTTTGCTCGAAATATTTCTTGTAACTTTAATCAACAATTTAAATTCATTGATTTAATTTTATTAGTAAGGGTAGAATTTTATTTATGAATGAAATAAATTATAAGAAGTATTAATTTATTTCTTATGTTTATAGTTATAATATTAGTAATAATGAGGAAAAATAAAGATTATTATCTGAAAATAGATGTTTATTGTTTTACACAGTACGCATTTAGAAGAGTACAAATAATTGTACAATTTAGTTTCAAAATATCAATTCTATTTTTAAAAAAATGTATAAATAAGTAGAACACCCTTGGTCGTTAGTACTTTGGTTATAAGTGTGGCCAATAAATGTGTTAAATAATAATAATTTAGTGTAGTTATTGAATCCATTTTGTATGAAGAAATCTAATCACTTTGATGGACTATTCGTAACCATATTTTATTTAACTTTTTTCAAATATATTTTTTTGTTGTTTGGCGAATGCTCGGCACACTCTTGCTCACATGCACACGTCTTCTTGCTGGTCGAGCATTCTATATGACTTCCATATATTCCGGTTTCTAAGAACGGGGCAGTGAAAAATGCAAGGTCAGAGAAACATAAACATACGGTCGCATACACACAGCCACACGCATGGAACGATGTAGAATGAGATGGATGCGATGGTTTGATCCTAGTCCCACATGGAAAGAGAGAAAAACCGTTTGTCTTGAGCGGATGGTTCGGGTTGAGTGAGCCGAGGAGAGGCTCTACCACCGCCCTCAGAAACTGGGCCCAGCCAGAGGAAGAGCCCAAGAGCAGGTAGAAAAACGTCCACAATAACCACGACCAAAACAACAGAAGACGGATGAAACGGCATTCCGTTACATCACAGAAAGTTTTAAACGGCACAACAGGAAATTGGCCTCGATGTAATGGCAGATTAGTGTGCCGTTCTCTCTTTCTCCCTCTTCCCCCCTTGACCGACCCAACCCCATCGTCTGTCTCGCTTTTTTTTTTCTATTCACTTTTTCGCTCCTATTCATTTCTTTTTCATGCTCGAAACGCAGCTTGCATAAGGATGATGACAGAAAAAGAATACCACTCGTGAAGGCTGCTTCTTCGCAAACCATCATCTACCGAGCAACAGTGATTATGGGATTCCATGAAATGTGATTTTACGGCCAGTTTACAAATTATATAAATCTATGCGAGTTACGAAACACGAGGTGATTGCAGTGATGTTGTTAATAAGCGAATCTTGTTTTGTGTCCAACAATATTATTTTTTTTATACAATAACATTTAAACAAAATTTTTGTTAAATCATAATTGGAAACAATTAAATTTAAAACCAGATATTTCAAAGAATGAATTTCTAAAATCAGATTAAAAATTACACAATTGTAAGTATTCGAGTTTAATATTTTATAAGGAATTGCATATTATTAGTATATTTACATAATCATTTCTTTAAAATTATAAATGTAAATTATATTCCTATATTAAATATTAGCATGGGTTAGTTATATAATTATAAGTTTTAATTTGCTTACAATTGAATTATCTGTATTTCTTAGATTTATCTTAGATTCATCGAAAAATATTTTTTGAGAAAGTATATTTACAAGCAAAATATATATTTTATTTTGCGAAAAGTATTAATTATTATTTTATGAAAACTGATATAAATCAATAAAATTTTAATTTTCATATCATTTCTTAAAAGATCTTATATTTAATTTAAATAATAATAAACAACATTTATTATTGTACATATACATACAAAGCGTTATTGATAGCAGTCGATTTAATATTTTTAGTATAAAAATCTAATATAACTCAATCTAATTTCAATTTGCTTATCTGTCTGTATTTTTCAATAAATAAAGATATCAATATATTAAATATTTTTAAAAATTCAATCAAATTTAATTGTATTGCGAATTTCGGAAATGGAAAAGAAATCTAATAAAAGTATGAAATTTAATTTAAATTCGTAAAAGCGAATACGATTGTTTATGTAGAAATTCACATTTACTTTTGTCTATATAATTTATATATAAGAATCACAGGACTTTAACAATAAATCCAAATATAAAACTGCAAATTTAATTTTATGGAGAATTATCGGAAAATTTGCGAAAACTCAATTCAAATCAGAAAAATCAACAAAATTAAATAGTTTAATATTTCACTAATTCTAAATTGATAGAAAATTTATTTTAATTGGTATATAGAAAAATTGAGGTGTCAGCGGCTTGAAAATGATCGGGAAGTAGAGAATAGCTTGAGAACAAAGTTTGATCGATAAGTCTTTTAGGGGTTATAAAACTCGCTGCTGTTCGACGAGTTTTATTATTATTATTGAATCAGTAACATTGTCATTAATGATTAGTTGTAAATTTTAGTTACATTCACAATTGTATTCGTGTTTTTTTTAATGTGTAAATATTATTATTAACTTAAGTTATATAAGAACAAACAAGATATTGTCAGTCAAATTAAAAAGATTTGGAAGTTAAGAATGAAATTTCGTAATAAATATAGATAATCACAGATTTAAAGATTGTAAACGATAAAGAATATTGGTTTTGTTGATATTGTCGATAAGCAATTGAATCTTTACATTTAGTGTTTGCGTAATTGAAACAAGGGCAATTATAAGATTATTGCTCCTGAAAGTGGAGGGATTATGCAAAACACGCAGAGCACATCGAAATTAATTTCAATTGTTCCAATCGTGTGCTCGCAATTATTGACACATGTATCCAACATAACATTACATTTTATTGAAGCAGCCGTTCGTTTTCAACAGCACGGAATGTTAATTACTCTTAAAACAAAACAAACAAACAAAAAAAGGAAATATGTACACATACTTGCAAATTACATTAATTGCGCAACGATTTTAAGTTGAACTGCAAATATGCATAGGGCTTACATAAATAATAATCGTTTTACTTGCTTCATTAAGAAGTAATTAAGGAACTATCCTCATTTATTCATAATTGCAAGTAAAATACAACTAGAATGAACAATTATAAATAATATTTTTAAATAAAATATATTGTGAAAAAAATAGACTTCTCGTAAAAGTACGTTTTTTTTTTCATTCGGTCTATGGATTTATTATTTGCTCATACATTTTTGATGTTCTTAAAAGCATTTAATACCCAGTAAGCTCTTCTGGAGATGGAGATAAGAAATCTGCTTAGTTACGGCGCTGCTCGAATTTCTTATTAATAAGTAAATATTTCACGTTATCCCCGTCATTTTATTATCTTCCCTTGCCATAGGTCTCTCCTTCTTCGCCTCCGCTTCCATCCCAAATTGATAGCAAAGTATTAATTATAGATCGTCCCCAAACCTTATTAAATTACCCAAAGCTCAAGCATAATTTAATAGTCTCAGATAGTGCGCATTCTTCGTTAATTACAATGTTATCTCTTTCTTGCTGCTTCATTACTAGAAACATTTGCTTATTTATACAACAATAATTATAATCGATAAAGCTATAAATACGATAAACCTGTTTATTAAAATATAAATGAAGTAATTGTACGAGACATAAGATATAAAATAATTAATGTTGTCTACAATTATTTACGTATTGTCTATAGATTATGTATTAAAATATGAAAAATATATTTATATTTACGAATTACTGAATACTCTATTTGTTATAACAGAATACAAATTATTTCGATTCATTCAAAAAATAATATTTTGTAATTTATGTATAGATATATAAAGTATTTAGAAGTTACAGGAATATGAATATTCAAGTAAATTTATAATTATTTGTTCGATACTACTTATTACTTTACTAATTAGTGTTTGTAAGATGCATTCATATTAGCAATAACATCTTGCAAGTTGTATGTACAAATTACTTAGTGAAATATATAATTTGAATATTAACAACAAATCATTCATGATATGTTTCTATTGGAACGTTTTTATTCCTTTCCACGTAATTTCACGTTGCATCGCGTGCGGACTGGACACTGCAAGCGTTTGACAAGTCATGGAAAGGTCGATGCACCGACCGACCGACCACACGTCCTTTTCGCAGCTGAAATCGCTGAAATTTTAGGCGACCCGACGCTCCTGAGACGACGCCATTTAATTCAAGGTCACGATCGCGATTCCTCTTCTTGACCCACATTCTAACAACCCTCACCTCAGACCCACATATGCAAATTATTCTTTCTGCTTTTACATGGAAACGACAGAAATAGTAAAAAAAATGTAGTTAATTGGATTTTTTGGATGTAATGGTTATTAGTGATAAAAAGTAAATATGAATAATTATCTTATTTTCTTTGGAACAGGTTATAAAAAGAATATTATAAACTATACGATTTCCTAGAAAGAAAAACGTTTCCTGCCGAGGAAGTACTTACCTTTACGCTTCCTTTTATTTTGTTGGCAGTGAATAATATAAATATACTTTGCTCATATCTACACAATATCAAAATATGATTTTTTTTGCCATAAACAACTACAATAATTTATTGTTGTTCTGCATTGAGTTTACTACACAATTAGATTTTTATAATTTATATAACAATTTGTTTTTTTTAATAATAACTATTATTATAATATTTATATGTTTTTGTGCTATTTATTTTTTGCGGTTTTAAAGTCCTCGATTAGTCCGGTTTCAAAGACTGTAGAACCAATTACCCGCGCTATTCGAGGCACCAAAGTACCGACAGATTTTCTGAAAGTTATTTTAATCGTAGTATTTATATTTCTGTTTCTTTACTCATTCATCGTTTATTTCAGTTGTAAAAATATTGATTTTCTTGATTACATAAATATAGATAGGTTTATTAATTGAAACTTAAATATCAATGAAATTTTTAATTATTTACAAATATCAATATTGGGTTATTGTTGAAAATAAATATTAGATTTGTTGTTATTGTTGCGTGCATTAAATTAAAGAAAATATTTTGCGTTTTGCTACTGGACATGAAGATAATAAACGAATGTTTTAAACATTACCCACTGTTTTTCTTTTTTTCGTATCGTCTCTGTCTGTGTATGAACGCAATAAAATCGTGTGCTTGTTTATTCAGTAGCATCCGCAAAGACGTTGTTGTTGTAGCTATCCAATGTGTTGTTTGTGCTGAAATAAGCATTGGAACAAAATCGTGTTGCATGGTTCGGCCGTTTTCCATTGTACCAAGCCGCCTCGCATAACGTCGTTAGTCATCTCTTCGATATGTGCGTAACTCGGAAACTGGAGGCAAACACGTAGATGTACATGGATGGAACAGAACACACAGTTGGTTGGTAATGCAGCACGCGCCTTCTCGCACCCACCACTAATGCTCCTCGGTTTAGCAGCGTCGCGACGCGATCAATACAGCCAACCCCCCAACCCCTTGTTAGGACGCCGAGCGGGGGGGTCGAAAACGGAAACGCAACGCGCCGATCCTTCTACCGAAATATTTCCCCAGATCCACTTTCCAAATATAAACCAAAATAACAACCTTCCTGCAAACAATGCTTCCAGCGCGATGTTCTCCCATACATTTCTATTATCACATACAAAACTTCAGCTTTCATCATTTTTGTTGTTTGACAACTAAATGTCAAAACTCTAGTAAAGTTTTAGTTATGATGATTAGATAGATTTTTCTTTATATATTCTTATGTTTCAACAAAATTTGTTATACATTTCAAATTCATTTTAACTAAATTATAATATTTGCAAATACACAAGTAATTAAAAATAATAATGCAATCTTATTCTTTCTTTAATTTTTTATGTGTTTCTTATCGATTTTACCTTTTTTCTTGGACCTCAAATGATGAATGTAGTATCTCGAAGTTAGGCAGTCGGATTTTGCGCTCAATACTTCTGAAATATTAATACGAGAGTTAGTGTTCAGAAATATATCATTCTTTGGATTAAAGTCGTAAAGATACAAATGATATTTATGGAAGTTTTTTTTTTGTTAGGAATCCATCGTTTTCAGTTATTGCTTTATTTCCCGCTGTTTCGAAATCTGTTGGACTATGAAATCGAAACGAAAAGCTGTTACAACCACATGCAATATGTGCGAGCGTTTTTCCAGAGACATTTAATTCAGCGAACAAATTTGGCTGTGATCGAGCAATTTCGCACACAGCAATTACAACGCAATTTCCCGTTTTCAATTTGACAATCGTTTAAACAACTAAACTGAAAATGAATGCATCGCTACAGTTTGGCTACAGTCAATTTTCGAGATTGTAGATTGTGTTCTGCGTCTACAGTACGAATGGAGGATATATCCATGTGATGAGGTTACATTGCAGCTTCGAACTTCCTTGAAGTGCTTGATAAATAGTAGTTCTCCTAAGTTAATCGTCTCGGCCTTCTCGAGTTCTTCTGCACATATATATTTTTTTCTCTCTCTCGCAATTTTGTCCTCGAAAGTTAACTGTCTGAGAGATAAAGCCCGAGATGCTCGAAAAGATTCCGAGTGGCTTCATATGAAACGTTTCATATCATCATCAACAAAGGAGATATTAAATTTCATCCCTGATCCGGGTGCTGCTGGTGTACTACTTCATTTCAAGACGTTCCCTGAAGACCCGGATTCGCAGCATTAACAGAATGGGGCAAAAGAACACTTTAAATAAGACGCGATGGAGGAAACGAGAGGATACAAAAAAGTGCCAGAGAGAAAAAAGGGTGTAATGGTCTGAACTTAATGAAGCATCCATTTCGTAAAGGAATGGAAAACGCTTTGTTTCCTTTCGTAAATGTTGTATATTCAAGTAAAGAAATGGATAATTGCGATTGATTTTGCGTGGACATGTCGTGCACTTGATGAGTTAAATTTTTTCCTTACTCGAATCTATCAAATTTGTAGTAGTTTAATAAACCAGACCAATAAGACCGATCCTTGCTATTTACCAGAGATATTGATCGTGCCGTACCACACGCTCGTATATCGCCATCAAATATTTAGTTGCTCGGCCTTTGGCACCCCATAGATATTACCACTCTCCACAGATGATGAAAAAGCGCAATGAATTGATACTATTATAGAAGACCAAACTCAATACAATTGTTATGTAATTTCCAGACCTGACAAACCATTATTTTTATTAACATCTCCCTTTAATCATTCAAAACGATGCATAACCTAATTTCTAGGCTGTGAAAACACATATTTGAAAATATATCATAAAATCTCGAGTATCTCGTACAATTTGTACTAATTTATCGTTTGTGGTAGAAAGTTCATTTTAGTTTTGTTTAACTATTATTTTTTTTTATTAACAATTGTTTTATGCAATAAGAGCATGAAATAATATGGGTGAATATTATAAACAAATTTTAATTTTATTATGATATATCTAAATATACAAATTTTACTTTGACATGTGTCTTTCATATGATATGAAAATAGATTTTTTTTTATTTTGAAAAGTTTTATGATAATATTCATCAATCCGTGATGACTTCCGATTTAATTAGGGGGACAAATCGTCGGCGCCGCGCCTTTTCCCATATTCGAAACAACAGGGTGACAGTTATTTGATGCGATAAATCATGGCAAGGCAGAAATTATTACCTTCTGTTATTATTTTATTGGTATTCAATGAGAGATAAATAATGATTTTGTTGTGTATCCTTCGCAAGGAAAAAGTTGTTGTAATCGTACACTGCTACAATGTTCCATATATCTTATACCCTTATATATTCTATTATGACATTTCTTATACAATGATTTGTTTTCCTTGCATTATATACGGCATTATTAAATCGATAAGTCGTAGAACAATTGTGTAATGATTAATTGCTCGATCGGTATTTATTTAGTGGATATAAGTCAACTTCACTGATTATTATTATTATTGTAAATACTAATAAATCGTTTTATTGTTTTAATTTACTTTTAAATTCGAAATATAATTAAAGTAAAAAAAATGTAGACTGTGAGATTCAAGCAGTAATATAAATATTATTAATTCTTCGAATCTTTAGATAAAAAAAAATGGACTAAGTAAGAATCATGATAGTTATATAGTTAGTATTTGTGGAACATCTGAATTGACCATCGATGTTCTTCAGTGTGTCTTGAATCTTGATATTATTAAGTGACTTAGAGCTTGCAGTTTAAGTCAGCATCATGTCAAGTAATGAGTGAATGGAATTGTCATGCTGTGCGCAAGGAATGGTCAATTTTGTGCATATGTTGAAATGCTGAAACTGTTTGCACCGTAAATTCCGTAGGCCAATATAAAATAATAAATATGTAAGAGGTGTTACGGAATGCAAAAAGATGCATAAATCTTCGGACACAAAAGCGTGCGAAATTGATCGCAAACCGTGGAGCTCTTTGCGTAATTGCGACCATCGCTAATGTACACAAATGCAATGCGAATAAATTTGGAGAAAAACCACTTCAGAAACAGTTGGAGGTTCCGCAGCACCAGACATTCATTCACCAAACACTTTCACCACCGGAAAATTTGTCTGCCCGTTGTTTATTCGTTTCGCCCTAGTTGCGCAATGTTATTATTATTATTACGAGGAATCCTTTGTGCCTACTATCGTCCGTTAGAATCAATTGTAATTACGATTATTGCGTCTTTGTCCCCTCACGACGACCATCCGGAGAGGCCATTATCTTCGCAGCCCCTAGGGCGTCTCGATAAGTCTTTGAGGAAATCAACCACCCAGCGCAACTGTTTCCTGCCCATCGCCTCCAAACTATCTGGAACTTCCTCGACCTTCGCGAAAGCCCCAGATATCACCAATTTAAATGCGGTAATCTCCGCTGTCAGTTCCGGAATACTTATCGAAAACCCACAATTTGTTCACGCATTTATTATAAATCGAATTCTTATTTTATTTTTATATAATTCTATAAACATATACTTCTTTTCGTGGTATGATCACTATGGTCGGGACGCGTGCAACATACTGAAAATAAGATGTGTCAGAATGTTAGTCTTCTCGGTGTGAGCACGAGAGAGAGCCAATTGCTGTTTACTCATCGAAAACACGTGTTTATTTTCCCATTCACATCGATTCACGTTACATATTCTCCTATTGCAGCGAACCGTGATAGTTTATTGTCTGCCGAAGGCAGTCACATTATTCGGCCCGATACGTATTCTGACAGGTGACAACTTAATTATTCGCTGACATTCAGTTTCGAACAAATCTAGACTGTTGATAGCGAAGTATACATTCCTTTTAAACAAGAAAACCATTCTTATTACATTTTAGTAAATTTTAAAGATAATTGAAGACTTTCTAATTAAATTACTTTTACTAATTGAGTTTTCATTATTAAACATGAAATCCTTTAATATTATTTGCTTGAAATTGAGTATTTAAGTTTTTCTTAAGCAAATAAAAATATTATTGTATTTGTCTGTATTTGCAATCATCTACCTAAAAATGCGAATAATCAATATAAATATACGCGATTGGATCTTATTTAGTAGATTATTGTGCAATTAAAATTATAAATAAATATATCAAATGTTTACCTATTTTTTTGAACTATAAGACGCAGCCCAAATTTATGTAACAAATGTATATGATCATAAAACGGTTCACTTCAATTCCCAATCGATTTATGGTTCAAAAAATACGATAATTCATTATTGAAATATAGACGATTGGAACTTATTTTGTGGAATTTGCTTGTACATTATTAATTGGTGATTTCAAATAGTAGTAAAAGTAATGTTTCCTTTGTAAGATTTTATTTGTTTTTAAAGTTATTTGATTTCTTAGAGAATATACGAGTTTCCTGAATAATAAACAAGATTTTGTTGTTGACTATAAACTCAGTCAGACACGAGACCTACAAACACTATCAGCAGTTTGGCTGAAGTGATGTATTTGCTTTTCGAATTAATCAGAAGCTAAATCGAGTCTGTAATCTTATCCAGTCACAATGCGAGCCTTTCGTTATTCGAAATCAATTGTTCGTGGTGAACAATTGCGCATAACCGAGGCCTGCATCAACAATCGCTATCGCTCATGATAAGTCGTCTCGGCCTGCATCCAGATTTTGTTTGGGTTCGATAACTTATCAAAGCTATGTACAAACGGATGATGGAGGATCACTCGTGCTCCACATTTTGGTGACTGCGTTCTGTTATCCAACTGTTTGTTTATTCGGTTACGTATTCCGAGTGATGTGATGGTTGTGAAACGTTTCGTATATAGCTTGCATCTGCATATCGGAAGCACAGTATGGATGTCCCACAGGCACGACAGTTAACAAAGTAATTTGTTACGTATGTAATAATAATCAGGCACTAACGAAGGCACTTTAGAGTCAACCCCTGCGCCGTGCGACTTACGCCCTTAAACCG